AAACTCCTCACAGATAATTCCATCATTCCCCATGAAAATCAAATCATCAACATATAAATTGACAATTAAGATTTTACCAACTTATAATCGAGTGCACAATGTGTGTTTACTGGAACATTTCTCAAATTTTTATCATGCAAAGTAGATCTCAATTTTGTGATACCAAGCGCGAGGTACCTATTTGAGGTCATACAATACTTTCTTTAATCGATATACCTTTTCTTCTTCCCCTTTCTTGATAAAACCTTAGATTGTAGGACACAAACATCTTTTTAAGTTCTCCACGAAGAAATACACTCTTGACATCAAGTTGAAACACCTTCCAACTAAATTGAGCAGTAGTAGCCAAAATCAATCTAATGGTATCCAATATAGCAACTGGAGCAAAAACTTCCGTGTAGTCAATTCCATGTCTTTGTGCATACCCTTTTACTACTGTTAGAAAAGTAGTTTTAAATCAAGAGGGGGGGGTGAATTGATTTTTGAAAGTTTTTCGCAATACACAGATTATCTAATCCGAAAATTAAGATTACTTATCAATTCACAAATCACAAAGCAATCAAACAGTTTAAGTGCAGCAGCAGAAATTAAAGAGAGAAAGGTTAGGAAAGATTTCACCGGTAATTTTATACTGGTTCACCCACAACCAGGGCTACGTCCAGTCTCCAGCCAAATTCCAGCTGGGTTCCACTAGAATAGATGTTTTACAGACTCACACTCTTACACCTATTCTAACTCTCCACCAAGAACCAAATTCCAGCTCTTGGAAACCTCTGCAACCAAATTCCAGCCGCAGAGAAACCAGTGCCCAAATTCTAGGCACCACACACAAGAACCAAATTCCAGCTCTTGCTTTAACCTTTCCACCAAGAACCAAATTCCAGTTCTTGACAACTTTCTACAACAGCTGCAGAAAACTTGTACCCAAATTCCAGGTACAAAACAGTACAAATGAATGAATATAAATTTAAAAGAAGAAACAAAGAAAGCTCAAACCGGATTACACCAATCCACAGTCAGTTTCTTCTTCAAAGAAATGCAAAGTGCCTCAAGAAAGATTTCAAAAGAAGTTCACAAAAACAGTTGTGTATCTTTCTTGAAAAATGCTAATAGTTGTTTGTATTGATTGCTTGAATTGTGTAAAAACTGATATTCAATCTGTTGTTTCAAAGTTTCAAGCAAAACTCTTTTTAAAGAGAATTTTCAAATCTGCTGCATTAATTAATTTGTTGAAAGTTTGTTTTAACCTGTTGAAATAGCTGTTATAATCTGTTAAAAGTCCTTTCAACCCATTAATGCGTTCTTGATCTTTAACAGAAAATGTTTTAGTTGATACGACCACGTTTTTATCAGTTAAAACGTTTTACAAACATTTTCAAAGTATAAAACAATCGATTGAATCGCGTATTAATCGATTGATTTGTTTAAAAACCTTCTTATAAAACTTTCCAAGTTATTTTAGCTGATATAAAGTCGTTTCAATCGATTGAAAAACTGCACATATATTTTCAAGTCATTTTAATCGATTGAAAGTTCGTTTTAATCGATTGAAAAAATTTTCTAAGTTATTTTAATCGATTAAAATACGTTTTAATCGATTGAAATAAATCTGATCGGTCATAATTCAATTCTGATCGATCATAACCACTCTGATCGGTCATAACTGTATTCTGATCGATCATCCTGACTTCCAAAGTGGTTTTAATCGATTAAAACGTGTTTTAATCGATTAAAAGAAATCTGATCGCTCATATTTAAAATCTGATCGATTATATTTCATTCTGACCTGTTATATTCGAATTCCAATCGGTCATAAAGGGTTTTAATCGATTAAAAGAAGTTTGTATCGATTAAAATACTGTAAAAACAATTCTTTACGCATTCTTAGTGATTTTAATCGTTTCTTAAAAAACTATATCAGTTAAAACCATTGTTAAGAAGGTTCTTTGTCAAAATGCTTTTGTTTGATTTGTTTAAAACTATTTTTGAGGCATTTTGCAAAATGAGTGAAGAAGCTTTATGCAGTGGAAAAGGTAAAGTGGTTTTACCTAAGCTTTCTGTTTAGACACACTAAGTCTTCAGCTCCTTTGTTCTGAGTGACTTGTTTGACAGCTGCAGAGTTGACCCTTGACTTTATTTTTTGACTTCATCAAATCAATGAGATCTTTGCTAGGATCACTTTCAACTACAAGTCTTGCCTTGTGCTTTTCTACTTTTCCTTTAGCATTTAGTTTGGTTTAAAAAACCCATTTGACTTCAATCGGTGTAACTCCATCCGATAGTAACGTGAGCTCCCATGTATGATTCTTCTCTATAACTTCTATTTCTTTAACCATGACTTCTCTCCAATGTTTACTCCCTACGACTTCTTCAAATAATACATGGTCATTCTCGATTATTAGCATTACTACCAATTTTTCTTCTTCTGACAGTCCTGCACTCGTGTCATAGTCTGCTAACCACCTTGATGCACTCCTTGCTCATGCACCCCTCCCTTGAGATGAACCTGGTGAAATATTGTCCAGACTTGTGTTGCTCCCTTCCTCACTGTTATCAGCACCAACTGTTGTTGTTGTTGTTGCAATATCATCTGTATCTTCATATATCACATCTCGTTGATTTTTTAGCTCTAATTTGTCCTAGTCACAACTCTTCTCCTCCTTAAAGATTACGTCTCTATTAATGATCACGCTTTTTGCAACTGGATCATATAACCTCCATGCTTTAGACTCATCACTGACTCCTAGAAAAATGTATTTTCATTTTTGTCATCCAGCTTTACTCTCTTTTGGTGTGGGACATGTGCATGAGTCACACACCAAAGACTCTAAAATACTCTATACCACCGATTTTTTACAATTCCAGGTTTCTTTTGGAGTAACATCGTCTACAGTTGTTGTTGGACATCTGTTCTAAATATACACATACCATTTTACAACTTCTGGCTAGAACACCTTCGGAACTTGCTTATCACTTAACATAAAATGAATTACATTCATAAGCGTTATATTTTTCCTTTCAATTACACCATTTTGCTGATGAGTATAGAAGTAATTAACTATCTTCGTATACCTTGTGTGACAAAATTCTTAAAATTCATTGGAGAGAAGCTCTCCACCTCGGTCTATTCGCAAGCACAATATGTATGCATCTGCCTCCTTCTCAACTCGCGTCTTAAATTCTTGAACTTTGCTAGTGCTTCTGATTTCTCATGCAAAAAATAAACCCACGTTTTTCTAGTAAAATCATCAATAAAACTTAGAAAATATTTTCTTATAACTGTGAGAGGTTGGATGAATAGAGCCACATATATCAAAATATACTAGTTGCATTTGTTTAGATGCTCTCCAGGTGCTTTGGCTTGGAAACGAACATCTAGATTGTTTTCCAGTTAAAAATGTATGACATGTTTTTTGTGGATGTGCCAAAGCAAGTAGACCTACCACCATTTCTTTGTCAATCAAGATGCTTAAAGCTTTGCAATTTAAGTGTGCAAAACGACAATGTCACAAATAAGTTCTAGCCTCGACAGTTTCTAATTGGAGGAATAATGAATGTGTCGGAGCCATAGATGTTGTCACATAGAACATTATGTTCCCACTCATCTTAGTTTTCATAATCCATCCCTTTGTAGAATGAAACACCTTGCAAGAGTCATCTGAAATCAAAATGGATATGCCTTTTTCTTGTAGTTATCTGATACTCAACAAGTTATTTTGAGCTCATGAATGTAATAGACTTCGGACAAGAGCTGAGTGATGCCATTAACATGCATTCAAATACTACCTTTTGCTACTACCGCAATATAAGTATCATTTCCAAGCTTTATTGTCCTAAAATGTTCTTCCTCCAAATTCAGAAACCATGCCTTGTTTTCTGTCATATGATTGTTGTAATCAGAATCAAAATACCACTGTTCGTCCTCTTGCGTTTGTTGCTTCTCATGCGCCATTAAGAGAATTTCTTCTTCATCATCAATCTTAACATAATTGGCTTTCCTTTCCCAATCATGACATTCATACTGAAAATGCCCAAACTTATGACACTTAAAAAACTCAATGGTGGCCTTGTTGAATGGTAGTCTTCCTCTCCCTCCGCCGTGACTCTGGGCCCACCACGACCTCTGTCTCTGCTAGGCCGCTCCTCTTGAGTACTTCTAGTGCTAGTGTCCTCATAGGTTGCCTTTGGCGCAAACAAGTTGAATTTAACGGTCAAAGATCTCAATATTTTACTTACCACAGTGCTTTGTTTCATCATTTTTATATTGGACTTCATTTTGCTCACCATAACCATGGTGCATCCTATAAAACTCAATATTTTTCCGTTTCTTTCACGTTGAATAGCTCAAATTCTCTCCTAAATGCTTGGAGTGGTGCACATTTTACTCTTGTAGACCTCTCATTCTTCTATTTTTGTAGAATTTCAAATTGCTCGTGACGTGCTCTTGTCAAGAATAATTCCCAATATTTCTCTGACAATAGATTGAAATAGAAGCTTTTTAACCCTCAAGTTTTTTAGTTTGGCTTCCTCCAGAACTCTCTTTTAAACCTCACCATCGGGTCCTAGACTAGTCATAGGTGTAGGTACATCATCCTTCACTAGACTCCCCAACTCATTGCTCTCTAGGAAATTATCCATGATCATTGATCAAAAGTCATAACGATCATCAAATTTGGAAAGGGATACACAAATTTTAGGATTGACATCGAATTGGATTAACAGTGAGAATTGCTTTAGTGTCTTATAAAAAATCACTCACTCACCGATTGGATCAAGCCCCTCAAGGAGCTCTGATGTTAGACTAATTTTAACAAACGGTGGATGTGCAAGGCAAATATACCAATGAACTACCCTACATATTAGGAGGAGCAAGTTCTGCACAAGTCCTAACAAATATCTAACTAACAAAATAACATATAACAAACTGGAAAAACAAAATAAAAACTGACACAGTGATCTTCCAAATCAATGGTGTTCTCAAGGCTCCAATCTATCCATCTATGCTCAGTGATCAGACATGGATACATTTCAGATACGTCGACCAACTCACTGTCAATGGAGGTGGCACTTTGGATGGTCAAGGCACTGCCACTCGCCAAAAATGTCAGAAAAATGCTTGTAAAATTCTTTTTACGGTACATGCATACGTAATCTCAACAGTGTTTTTTGTTTTTCTTAGTCTAATAAGCTTAGAAATAATGTTGAAACTAAGGTTTTGTTTCCATAATTGGCTATATGTAGACTATGGATTTGGCCTTCATAAACAACGGTCGCATATATAGAAAACTTGCATTCTTCTGATAGTAAAGGTGGACATTTCATAGTGTTTGGATGTTCAAACATGACCTTCACAAACCTATCCTTGAGGAGCCCTACTGACAACCGTAAGACAGATGGAATCAAAATCTCCCACACAAATGGCATAAACATCACAAGTGTGCATATTGGCACTGGTGATGACTGTGTTGCTATGATTTGTGGCACCAAGAAGGTGCGAATTACAGATGTTTTCTGTGGCCCAGGCCATGGAATCAGCGTGGGAAGCCTTGGTGGTGGGAATCCGGAAGAAATACCAGTGGAAGATGTAGTTGTCAAGAGCTGCACCTTCAATGGTTCCAGCAATGGTGTTCAAATAAAAACATGGCCTGTTCCATTGAATACACCTTTTACGGTTTCTGGGTTCACCTATGAAGACATTACCATGATTAATGTGCAACATCCCATTGTCATCAATCGACAATATTGTCCGGAACATAATTGCGACCTCACGGTACGTTTCTGCTTCTGATTCACATTTTGATTCTAACAATCACTCTGCAATTCATGAAAAACATTTGACATATGGCAGAACATAATCTCACCTATGATTTCTTGATTTGATTACAGAAGTCTTCACACGTGCAAATCAGCAATGTTCTATACAAAAATATTTCAGGAAGTAGTGGTACTGATATTGGAGAGACAAATCAAAATTTTTGTTGTACTGGGAAATTGAATCATCATAAAAATATATGAATAAAAATAATCATCATAAAAATGACAGCTATGGGATTTGAACCCATGCCCTTTCGGACCAGAGCCTAAATCTGGCGCCTTAGACCACTCGGCCAAACTGTCTATTTCGAAATGTAAATTATATAAGAAGATATATAACATCTATGTTAGGATTTCAACCCATGCCCTTTAACACCAAAACCTAAATCTGACGCCTTAGACCACTCGACCAAACTGTCTTTTTTTATATGTAATAAACCTAATGTATTAATTAATTTCTTTAGAAATTAGACATAATTTATAAATTATAATAGAACCTTGTAATTTTAATATATAGGAGGAAAATTTATTAATATTTATGATTGTTTTAGTCCAAAATTAAAATTCAAAAATCTCCACTTATGAAAAATAAAATAAATGATTTTGTCAAACCCGTGCCCTTTCGAACTAGAGCTTAAATCTTGCACCTTGGCCCACTCGGCCAAACTACCTAGCATGTTATTTAATGGGACTTGGATTTTTAGATCACGACAAATGTAAACCCTAAACACATTAGATTTGACTCCTTTTGTGCCAACTTGTTAGCTTTTCCTGCAAAACCCTTTTTCTCCCAAACCATAATTGAAGCCCATGCCATGAAAAAAATTTCTTCTCAACAATTACAGGAGGAAAAAAATGAAATTATTTTCTCCATAAACTAAAATGAATTTAAAATTATAATTTGAAAAAAAAGTAAGTAAGGACAAGTTTATTTAAATAAAGCCTTGTTACAATCCTTGATAATCTTATTTCGATACCAAAGTTAAAAGCATCACAATAATATAGTACAATCAAGAGTCCTTTAATCATTTTAGGGGTGGGGGAGTGTTTATATTATCACAATTTTTTATTAGAAATCAAAGAAACAAAAAAGAAGGAAAAGAAACTAAGAGAGGAAAGAAAGTATAGTAAAATTGAAACTATTTGTTGAATGCTTACTAAATACCCACACAGTGTATATATATATATATATATATATATATATATATATATATATATATATATATATATATATATATATATATATATATATATATATAGTGATAGTGACAATTTGTTTCCGTAAATACCACTGTTTTTTTAAGATAATAAGAAATAAAAAAATGGCTCAATCCAAAGTTCAAGTATAAAGTAATCCATGTAATACTTACTCTTTCAAGAATTCTCAGGTAAAAATAATATCTCAACTTTACATTCTTATTCAGTTACATTTGGAAATGAGTTACCATATAAAACCATGAAATTCAAATTCTCAATAACTTCATAACGTTTATCTAAACAAAAGTTAAATCTTTAATTTGTTTAAAGAGGAACATGTCAGTATATTTTAAAGGACCAACACGTAAACCAAACTAATTATAGCATAAATTTAGTGTCTAGCCACAAAAAAAACAGACATCCTAAATCTCAAAAATCAGTCATATGTACAAATTGCCTTATTCCCCATATCAAGAACATAATCCCAAGATATTCTTCGTTTCTTTAGTTTGAAAAATAATTTGCCTGTTGGCCCAACTGGAAGTTATTTTGCAGTAGCTTTTGAAATCTCTTCCTTTGTAATTCCACCGTGCATATTCTCATTCAGTGACACATTAAGCGATATTTTCTTGTATCGTCAAACTGTAAGATGGTATATTAGAAATATTTTAATTTCCTCAAAACAGGAAAATATACTCCAAACAAAAATTAATTGTTGGCTGTGTTAAGGGTAAGTTTACCACCCAAAGGCATTCTATCGTTATTAGTGCTCAGTATATAACCATAAATAGCACACTATCTAAAGCTTTTGTTGAGGTAAACCATATATATATATATATATATATATATATATATATATATATATATATATATATAGTATGATATAGATTATGAGCCTCTAAGGGAAGTTTTCTTCATAAAAATTTCTAAACAAGAAAGAAAAATACAATGAATTTTTCCATAAACTAAAATTAGCTTAACTATAAACTAAGTAGAAGAATTTCTTCAATATTGGTTTCTCTAAAAGATGATTTTAATTCATGCATGAGATAGTTTTATCTTATAGATAAATTTATATTTCCTTCTTTTTTTCTTACAAGTATTTTTAGAGTTTTTCCCAAACAAATCCTATCCATATATTATTACAGCCTTAAATATTTATATCTCTTTCAAATATATATTTAATGCTCAACCACCATAACTAATTGTGCATACATCCTTTAAAATTTTGCAATGCAATGGACAGGAAGCTAGTTAAAACTGATGAAGGGAGGCAGACAAGAGAAGTTAACAAGGTGTAACAAGTGTACAAGTAAACCATACCTGCAGATGTGAACGATGGAATCAGAGTCAGTGGCACAATGTTTGGGCCCAAAAATTCATAACCCTAGGTACAAAAACATTTACATGTCATTACGTGCTAAAAAAGTTAAGATAATCATTAAATAAAACAAATAAATGACGTATACAAGACAATAACAGAGAAAGAAATAACTTTGCAGTTGGTTTAACCAATTAGGCTTTTGTTCGGTGGTGGCTTGATGTTTTACCAATTGTGTAGTTCACTGTTTTTTCAAGAAATAGACATGGCTAACCAGAGTATAGGTTCATTCAATATTTTATCATGTGTTTTGATATAGTTCCCTTATTTGATGTTTTTTCGTTATACTCTTTTATTAATAAATTTTTGGCATGATGGAGATCATTAATGTGTATGGAGGTGCCAACATAGTTGGAATACTCATATACATAATGATACATCATATGTTACGAAAAATTATGTATAAATTTCAATTATATAATTGTCACGTTACCCTATTTATTGGTAGAAATGTCATGTTACCTTTATTAGCTCATTTAATACAATAATATGCTGTTGAGAATAATGTCTTACTAAATGTAATTCTAAATTTCTTTGATTCCCAGAAAACATGTATTAACATTTCAAATGATATTTAACACCAATCAAACAAGTTTCAGTCATTTCCTGGAATAATGATTCCCAAGAATCATGGTTCATACACATGAATAATTTTCCTTCCCCCACCCTCGCTCCCCCAAGAATGAATTTTAGAGAAGAAAGAAGTTTACAGACACAATCAAACTACTCTCACCCTATTTGTTTTACCCAAAGATAGAACATCAATTATTAAAAAGCAATTATTTTAGTATTGATTCTTTTAAAAAATCAATTCCACAAAAAAAAAAACAGACCTGATATATCTGTTCATCATATAACATAGTAAGCAGAAAGCAACATCAAATTCCACCACAAATTTAAAAATTTCAAGAAAAATTCATGGAACCATCCTCCCACCCCCAAATAAGAACACAAATTAACTAAATATGTGGATTAATAACAAGAACAAGGAATGTTTGCTCATGACATAGCCATAACAGCTAGATCTGAACAGGCAGTAAGGTCATTTTCACACCCTTCTTAAAACATGGCAAGAAAAACAATGTAGAACGTTATGCAGGGTTTATTTATACTAAAACGACTTGTCATGTTTTCAAACTTAATAGTTAAAACACCTAATGGTGGATCTGTCATCTAAACAAACATAAACTAGATCAGCCAATCCAAGCAGAAATTTGATCTAACATTGTAAGAGAAACATTAAATGGGCTGAAACTATTCAATCAACAGAGTACATTAACTCTACTACACAGAAGCATTAGCATAACCTAAGTTAGGATGGCCAAAACTTGCAATTCCTACATTCAAAGCCATCATGGGATAAGGAAAGGCAAAATAAACAAAAGAATTTACCATTCAGAAAGCTGCATAGCCTACTCAACTAAGACTCCCATCCTTCGGCTCCAGTGTTGAATATATGATGCTAGCAAAATAGATCAAGCTAAAAATACACTTGGCTGCTTCAATAAAGGTATAGAAAAATTCCCAAAAGGGAACATCTCTCCTTGAATGCAACCTCACTCAGCAAACTTGAAAAGGTTAAAATACAAAAATGTGCCTCTTCTGCCCTAGTAAATTATTATTCCGATATGTTGCATTTTAAAAAACAGATATTAGCGTAAAAAACCTTCATTCCTTTAATAAAGTCGTTTTTACTTAATTACACTATAATCGTTAATGAATGCTATGGAAGGACTAGAATGTCTGCTTGGAGACAGTATGTGGACAGAATGATTAATAGTAATCCGGTAACCAAACTTATGGATTGTAATGCATGAAAAAGCCATGAGAATGGAAATGTAACAGGGCTAAACTGGTCGTCCTATTTAGCATTGACCTTCTTTTATTGGGGGGTCGAATTGGGAGGGGGACATAAATAAAGGGGAAAACGAATGAAACAAAATTTCTTCAAGTCCTTCTCAAAAAGCTAATGCCAGTGTTAAAGAAGCATTTCTAAGATTCTAATTCATATCATATTATTAAGTTCTAAAAAATTGAGATATACAAGATAGAATCCACTTTTGTACGTGAAAGTCCTGCAAAATCTAGCAAATATTTTCAGTTTCTTTACTGAAAAGAGGCCCAACAGTTATTTATATCTTGAGCAATTCCATACTGCCTCCTAGAAAGCCTATTACACAGCAACTATTGTTTTCTTCTAGGCTGGTGATGGTCACTGAGAAGCTGATATTTAAATAAAACCCCACTATTTTCAGCATTTTTAACAGCTCCAACAGAGATTGTATATCTTTACTCCTTGAGCAAATTCCAACCACTTACTAGAAAGTACATTAAATGCAAAAGTGATACAGACACGAATTTTCTTTTCCTTGTCCTAGGAGGTGGTGATGGCTAACAAGCTATATATACATAAAATCCAACAATATTTGCATAATTTTGACAATGAGCAATCTCCAATTAACCATAGCAAATAGAAATAAATGAAACCAAACAAAAGACATAATTTAAAGAAGCAATATTAACATGAGCCACACGACAAAAAAAATAAAAATAAAACAAAATGTCCTTTATTTGACACAATAGACAAACATAATCTACTGCATCATCAACCTACATATGAGCTTTTTAAAGTAAGTACAACTTCAACGACCATCTAAAAGACAATTTCCCATGACATTCAGGAGTAGATAACTCTTAAAAGCTGAAGCAATCATCTAGAAAGTTGCAACCCAAGATACCAGTTATAAGATTTCTTAACAGGAATCTATCTGTGTCCTTGAGCTCGCTGCATCTCATATGCACTCCAAGCAGCAGGCCCAGGTCCATACTGAGGAAAATTCTCCCCTCCAGACTGTACCTGAAATTTGCCAGTTTTAGAAAAACACAATATCCAAATCAACGGGAAGGTTGTAAAAGAGTATTAAATAAACATATGCCCCAGACAATAATTTCCAACATATACAATATACACATACAATCAAATACATTTAGGGCAATATACAAACCAAGCAATTTGCACGCTATACATGCAATTTCATCACCCACTGGTTTAAAAACTAGACCAGACTAGCCTATTCAACCAAGAACAAGTCTAATGATTTAACTCCTACAACTGGATCATCTCAGAACCGGTGAGAACTAGCAACAAACTGATTAAAGCTATCTAAATCCATGCAGAAAACCAGTACTTTCAAATTTTTCTATTTTTTTAAATATTTTATTTTTAAGTTTAATTAAAAAATAATAATTAAGATAATTTTATCTACAGAACATATAATTTGGTCATTTATATTAATTTACAATTTGTTATACCCTGATTCCCTACAATTTTACAATATTCCATTACTTAAAAATATCATACACATTAAAATATAAATTTACTCACTACCTTTTAGACCACGTTCAAATTCTGATTCAATTTTTAAAACATTATGGTACACACAGATAACCAATTGACAATTCCATAATGTCTAAAATAAGAGACCAAAATGTAGCAATACACTGATTAGAGCTGATGGTAGTCAGAGTTAGGAACCAACACTGGTATAAAGAAAAGAAAAACTATTTATTTCCTGATTGAATGATATTTGAACAGATTAAGAAGAAAGACTTTTTCTCCAATGGTTTCCAATTTCTTACAAAGCTTCTGATCCCTTTGAAAGCCTTCTTCTCCCTATTTATTTACTATTAATTCTTCTAACTAACTGCTCTACCTATCCCCAACTATTTTTTCCCTTCACTTCTGTCCTGACTCATAACAGTTCCATCCCCTTCAAATTCAAAGTAATTCTCTCAGGACTAGAACGCAAAAGGAGACAATACACTTCTCCTGGCATCATTGTACCTTCTGGAGAATTAGCAATTCCTTACAACTGAATACCTTTGAAAACTATTAATGCTGAATAGTGTGTATAACTTGACCTCCATAACTACCAACATAATATCCTGATAAGCTACAAGAGCAAACTTTGACACCAGCAACTTACTACTTGTTAATGTTGTCAGACCGTTCTGATCTATGCTGTACTTCTGTTGCAGGGGACACAAATAATTGGGGGTACTTTTAGTATTCATATAGGTTCTGGACCGGATCTGAGATGAGCAAAGCAGTAAAAATGAAGATCCTACTAATAGCACCAAGGACCAGAATTTGGAAAAGGGTATAATTACATAAATTGTGTAACCATAAAAAAGATCATAAGATTCTATCCTGCTATAGCATTTTTGTGGTCAGCCCCTCCGACTCCACTGTCCCAGATTGATAACTATGGACCTAATTAAAATATTATAATGTTCAATGGATAATGGGTTCCACCTCTACTTGTGAGAAATAATAAACAATTTCACGGTTTCACTGTCAACTGCAATTAAGAGTTAAGACACATTTGAGAACAAAACTTACTGGATTCATGCCATAAATTCCAGGGTAAGGATTTCCAGCATATCCAGCATCAGCATTGCCATAATTTGCATTATACCCTGGACCTACAAATACAATCCACATCAAATAAGGAAGAGCATTAATAGGCCAAAAACAATGATATCTTGAGACATGAAAACAAAAAGTGTTTACAAAAGAATGGAACCAGAATTAGACCCAACACCACCAGATGTCACATATTGCAGTTAGCTAATTCATCAAGATTACATCATGCAAAAAGCCACATACCTGGATTCCCAGCTGCCGCAGCAGCCCGTGCTCTTTTCTCTGCATTTGCAATTTCCGCACGAAGCTTCTCCATCTCCCGAGCCATTGCAACCAACTTCTTCTCCATCACTTGACCATGCTCGTAGTTTTCTGCAAATCCCTTCTTCTCATACTCAATGGCAGCCCTGATAGCCATGAGACAATTAAAAATAACATCATTAACTTCGACTCAGCATCCCAGTACCCATTTTTTAAAGCCACCAGCATATATCCACCATTCAACCATATTCTATAATCATAAAAAAATATGTATTTCAAAAAACTCCTTCAGTGGACATATTATCAACTGCCACACAAAGGATTCAGCTTTCACTATAAACTCTAATGTATAGCCTACGTAATTCTAAATCGAGTTGTGCATTCATGTAACAATTGATTTCCTCCCTACCTGTCCATCACATCATTCATAAAATCTCATACTTCTATATCTTCTTTCTCATTTCTCACATTTTCTCTCACTATTGTAAACATTTGTTGTACAATTCTATGTAAAAATAACACCATTCTTCAGAAAATAACCACAGTCAAGGTTTAATTTGTGTAATTTAAAACCTTGATCACAAGTTAAGCACAATCCACAATATTGCCTCAGATTGAGACAAATCCACTACCTTGCACATTGCAACTCCTGTTTCATGGCCTCTACATCCTCCCTGAGCGCCGGCAGCCGTTTGGCGTCGGCTGTCATGCGGGCCAAGTCCTGCGTCATGGCCTGCACCTGTCCGGAGACGTCCTGACGGACGGCAGTGAGCTCCTTGATGTCAGCGTGAACCTGAAGAAGCTCGGCCCGAGCCGCCTCGGTGCCGCGGAGCTCGGTCTCCAGCTGGGCCGCCTTGTCGTAGAGCTCCCTCACGCGGGCCTCGGTGTCGGCACGGAGTGAGTCGCGGAAGTGCGCCACGCGCTGGAGCTCGTGCTGGGCCGCCTCGAGCTCCTGCTTGAGGGCCACGTGGGTGGCGGCAAGCCTTTGGTTGTCGCCTAGGAGGCCCTGGATGTCCTGGTGCTGGGCCGCGAGACGCTCCTCGATGACCGCCGCCGGGTGCAAAGGGATGGGACCGCGCGGGCCCAGCCCTAGCTGCGAGTCGCGGAAGTCTTCCAGGAGAGCGGGGTGGGGGTGCGGATGGGGATGGGGCGGGACGATGGGCCCCAGAAGATGGTGATGGGCTCGCGCGCCGAACATTGGGTGGTCGTGAATAGGCGGAGATAGCCCCGCCGCGTGCGGAGGGGGAAGAGGTTGCCCGCGGTTTCTGCCCGACATTGTTTAAACTAATAACAGTGGAAGAAAAGGGAAGGTGAGGGAAAATTGGGAATGTGGGTATGTTCAATGTTAGAAAAGTGAAAGCACCAGTTTTTGGAAGAGGGAATTGGGGTTCGGGTATGAGAAACGACGTCGGGTGCGTATGTGAGTGTGCAATGAAATAACGCAATGGTTGCTGTTGAAGGAGGGAGGAGAGTACCGTACTTACTTCGCACTCCACTGTCACGGAGATACAGTGTTGGGCCAAACCCAACCTGTTAGTACCTCTATTCGGCCCAAAATCAGATTCGGCACATTTCTTTGTTATTATTCGCAATGTTTTTAAACATTAATAAATAGCTTAGTGTTTTAAATTTAGTTTTTGGTAATTAAAACTTTTTTTATTTTAAAGATTCTATATGGTTTGAATTTAAAAAACCAAAAAAATCAAGTCAAATTTCAATATCGCTAAACTTTTAAAAATAATACTTTATCTGTTATTTATTATGTCACAATATTCTTAATATTTTATTTATTTATTCATCACATTTCAAAATTTAAGACAAACCTTAATTATATTCTTACATGTACAAGTAATAGATATGGTTTAAATTAACAAACATAAGATATAAAGAGTATACACATTTTTTAATAAAATTAAAAATGCTTATTATATTTATTTTATATATGTAAATAAGAAAAATGGTCACATATAAAAAAATAAAGAAGAAATACTCTATATAATATAATATAATATAATCACAAATCACAAATCATATATTTTTATTCTTTATTTTTATCCATAATGAATCTACGTCGATATTCCAAATGAAACACCGCTGTTATTAATGTTTTTTCCGCTAAATTTCCTTCCTGGACGATAATTACCAATCTCATTTTCCCTCCCTTTTTCCTCTCTCTCCCTATAAAAGCCCAAACCCACGCCACAATCAAAGCAACTTCGCAGCTTCCTTTTTTTGTCTCCACTCTCACCTCTCTTCAAAAATCACGCTGCTGACCACCACTATCACTGCCACCACCACCATGCCTGTCGACCACACCGCCGCTACAACCACCACTGCATCGCGGCCCGTGTCGCCGCTCCCTCAGCCGCACCACCATTACCCTCCGCAGCAACAAACCCTTCCAATTCGAGCTCCGGCAAACCCTCTCTTGGCCAAATCCCACGAACCGCACTTCGCCTACCCGTTTGCGCCCAAAGGCGTCAGAGGAATCGCGGCCGCCGACCACGGCGTTGCTGGTGGTGCGTTCGCGCCGCCGGCTATGGTGTACGGTGGCGGCGTTGTTCGCGGCATGCACTTGGACTACCTCAGTCACGCCTTACACGTGACCAGGCCACCGCCTCACGCGCCGTTCGGTCACGTGGGTAACGTTGCTGCCACACCCACTGCATCGCCTCCCGTGAAAAAGGTTCCCAATCTGAAGCCCCCTTTGCGTTTTTTTGAATTTTACAGTTTTGTGAATGAGTGATATGTATTAGAGTGAATAAATTATGATTATGTTTTTTCCTTTTTATTTTGAGCTTCTAGATTTTGTCCTGGTTTAATGGTAGTAACAGTTGGATTCAACTTGGTTTGAAATTGGAAGTGTATCCTTGGTGGAAATAAAATTATTATGGATTTCTAATTGTGCCTTTTTTTTTTTTTTTTTTTTTGTTGCTTTTGGTTTTGCTTTAGGCTACGCCTCGGTCTGCAGTTTCTGATATCAATGGCGGTAAAGATTCGAGTACCAGGTGAATTTGTTTTCATTGATGCGTGGGGTGTTTATTGTTGTATTTTTTATTGGTTGTGGAGTTGGTATTGATGATATCTCTGATTAATTTATCAGGGAAAAAAGCAGGGAGGATACCTACATTGTTGTTAGAGATAGAAAAGTGAGTCCTTTTTTCTCTTATTTTACACCCTTGGCAATGTAAATGTCTTATATTGTTGTTTATAATGAATTCATTGATTTCTTGTAGTTAAATTACATTCTGTATGTGTGTATCTAATTTAATTCTGAGAAATGTTAGTGCTTGTTAATCTTCTCAAAATACATTTGAACCTGCACGATGAGCTTATGTTTTGCCTACAACAGTATCTTTTACAGTTTCATGACATCTTCTGCATAGAATGTGCTTGCCTGTTCTATAACCTACACTTATTCTGATTTTATTGTTTTAATTTTTTGGAGTTAAATTGTCTTTGTAAACCTAGTGGTTGTGATCTTAAGTATCCTGGGTCTTTAATCCTGTCCTTTCTATTTCATTTCGTTGTGAATTTTGTCCCTGGACTTGATATCATGCGCTGACCCTGATAGGAACCCAAATCCAAGCCCCTTTAGGTTCCTAAACCTTTGCCAGTTTACACTTGAAGGCCAAAGAGGAGCTAGGGCTCATTTTCACAATAGTCAGCAATAAGAAAAAAGGGGGAGTTAGTTATATAGAGAGAATGAGGGTAGTTTAGTTATAAATAGGGCAGAGGGGAACAAAAGTGAAGGAGAGAAGAAAATGTGTAACCCAATGGTTAAGAGCCAGAGTTTCGTCTCTATGCTTGGGTGCTTCTGCTCTTTTTGTTATAGTATTTTACAGCTATATAATACCAAAAATGCATGTTCTGATAGCAGTTGCTTTCAATTGGTGCTTTCATTGAGAGATTTGTGCATGCAAATGAGTATATAGTCCCAGCAAGGAGGCAAAGTGTTCTTTTGGACTACGAAAATAAATTATCTTGGTCATACGATCTTAGCACAAGTAGTGGAGATGTCTCCTTCTAAGGTTCAAGTTGTCCTTGAATGGCTAGTTCCTAAGGATATCAAAGGAGTGAGAGGCTTATCGGATGTCACAGAAAGATCACCAAAGACTGTGGGAATTGGCTTGTCAATTAACAACACTAACTAAAGAGGATGGATTCCGTTAGGAAGAAGAGGCTCAACATGCCTTCAATGATCTCAAAATTGGTTTGGCATCATTCAGTCTTGGCTTTGCAAGACTTCACTAAGGAATTTATGGTTGAGTGTGATGCCTCAGGTCATGGGATTAGGGCGATTCTTATGTAGGATCAACAACCAGTAACCTATTTTAGTAAATCTTTTTAAGCAAGAACCATATTGATAAGAATAGACTACCTATTACCAAGATATACACTCGAAAGAAACGAACAAAAGAAGCAACAATCCTAGACCAGTAGCAGCGAGACACACAACACTCAAAGGATGCAAAACACCCAATAGTTACAACCCATCCAAAGGGTGTAAGGTCAAAGGATGCGAATCAAGGAGCATAACCCTTGGAATAGAGCTACAACCATTAGGAAAAGTTGTATCAATTAGGAATGGTTGTTTGAAGCAATATAAATAGAAGTAATCCAGATTAGGAAAGGGAGGAGGGAAATTAGGAAGAAATTGTATTTTGGAGAGACATACTCTCGAAAACCTATTATAAAATATCTAAAAAATTATCTTTATAAATTTGATTCATTTTTCAATCCTGTCCAGTTCTTTTCTGGCCTTATCACATATCCAAGTCTGAGTATGAAAATGAAATTATGGCTTGTGTTTGGTGTCCAACATTAGAGGCACTACATCCTTGGAAGGAGTTTCAAGGTGTTCACAGACCATAAGAGCTTGAAGCACTTGCTCCATCAAAGAATAACCATTTCTTATTAGCTATGCTAGTTGTCCAAGCTCTTGGAATACCAAGTTGAAGTTGTGTATAAACTTGGTATTGAGAACAAAGTCATAGATGCCGCAAGAAGAGATGCTATGACTACTGAATTGGGAACTATATGTGTATGTCGTAACGGGCTGGTTTTTTCTAAGAGAAAAGAGGATGTTCAAACAGATCCAAAATTAATACTTGTGTTGATGTGTGGACAAAGGCCAAGAAATTATATTCTAATAATCATCATTTCTACAATGTCCTCACTAGCTTAATGAACATTAAATTGGAAAACATTGACATTCAGACATACCTGGTAAGCATGATCTATCACCTCATTAGAGAATTTTCCACTCTTATGTCTTTTACTAATGTCATAGAGACATGTTATTACAAAGGAGGACAACTTTTCATGGTTGTTGCTCTTGTTGGACTACCAGCTAACCTTGTTATAGTTCAAAATCTAATTTTATCAAGATCCACTACTCCACTTTAGATGCTTTTGGATCCTCTTCTACATCTATTGCGATTTTTTTGCCTTTGTCTCATGATTATCTCATTGGGTAGAATGACATGGTTAAGAACATGCAACTATTATAAGAATTGGGTACATGTTAAAATAGAGTGTTAAACCAAAGGTAGGAGACATTCCCAATTAGTCATTGTAACCCAAGTCCACTCTTGCTTCAAATATTACTATCTCTTCTGCCGTATATAACGAGTTTCTCCACAATTGAAGTTACCTCACCTAGTAGTGTTGTGGCATAGTTTGGTATTTTTGTAGCCCTTTCATTCCCTAGTCCTCTTTCTTAGACCTTGGGCCCTTGATTTTGGGGTCTTTGATCATATGAAACCAATCTCTTTTATCTTCCTTGACTTGGTCACCTTGCTGTTTTTTACTCTTGTAGATAGCCCCCAATTAAAGTTTGGGGTATTGGACAAACCCATCATTTCCTAACCTTTCATTGCAATTTGTCTTATTTGTTTTTGGGCTTCCATCTAATTTAATATCTATTAGTAAACATGCCCACATTCTTGATTATTTTTGTCTTGTTTGTTAATAATTTTATTATTGTACATGATCGACACACAAAATGAACGATTGGAGTAAGACATGAGTCTGAAGGATTATATCAGCTCAGACCTCTGGTTGCATGTGTCTTGTTTGTCTCTATTGCTCTTGAACACAATGTATCAAGCACCCGGGCGTCGAGAAGTTGTGTTTTCATCTAGTTTTTCCAATGTTAAGTCCTTTTAGTATAACCTGTGTTAGTTGGGTATTTGGTGTACCATCTCTAGGGGAAAACAAATTTATGCACAACTTCATTTGTATATGGTCTTTGTTGATGCTACTCTCTTTTAAAATACTTCTGTCATCTCTTCAATTTTTGAAGATGTTCCTCCAAAGGTTCCACTTGTCCTTCCAACCCCACTTGTTGCTATTGCTCCTCTTCCAGCACCACTTGTTATTCCTCAATCACATCCATTATGTACATGTCTCGATGTGAACATTCTCATTTGGCACCATCTCTAGCATATCCTCCAACATCATCACTTGCACTTGAACTTCCTTTAGTACTTTGTAAAGGTATTTGGTACACTCGTAATCCTAATCCTATATATGTTTTTAATCTTAATTGTAACCTTATGTCTCCCATCTATTACTCCTTTATGTTTTATTTGGATTTTGTGTCTATTCCTAAGTCTACATGTGATGCCATGATTGACAACAATTGGCAACAAGTGATGGCTTGGTCAAATGGTTTTGTTGCATGCCAACGAAACATGAGAGGTTGTCCCATTGCCTCCTAACAAATCCTCTATTGGTGATCACTTTAAAGCTCGCCTAGTAGCAGAAGTTTATGCTCAAATTTTTGAATATGATGAGATTTTTTCCCCCAATATGCCAAAATCACCTTTCTTTGTCTTTTTCCCACTATGGTTGTCATTCGTTATTGACTTTATTAGTTGGACATAAAAAATGTCTTCCTTCATGGTGAGTTGCAAAAAGAGGTGTTATATGGATCAACTACTCTTTCTAGTCTCCAATAACTCATGCCTTGTCTGTTGGCTGCAATGCTATCCAAGGTGATGAAGGAACCTAAGTAAACACAAGTAATGCGAACACTGCCAAATAATTTTTTTGCACTAGATGAAGGGATTTGGGTTCCATTTGGGGTATAAGACTTTTGAATTGCTTGAGGAATTTCTTAGTTGATGGAATATAACTATATTATTCAAATGTCTAGTACAGGAAGCTAGGATATAGGGAAATTATGAAATGATACAGATCAAATCCTAATTATATACAGAAATAGACATCTTCTTAATAGGAAATATTATTTCTAAATAATAGAGGT